TGTATGTGTGTGTGTATGTGTGAGAACCTATACCGTGTCTGTTTAGGTAGCACGCCTAGAATAGCTTTGCTAACTGCGGGTTACAAAAGCCTTTATTTCTTTCATTTTAAAAAATAAAGTCAATGTTGTTGTTGTTGTTGTTGTTGTTTCTATAGAACTTATTTTGTTCAGTTCGTTTTGTAGCCACGCAGTGTAAATCAACGTGATCACTGTTAACTTAGAGGTTGTTCTCGAAAGGATCACAAGAGCTTGTTTAGATCTTAACAAAGAAGAATTAGTGCGGAGAAGATCGCAAGTTGATAGATAAAAAAGTGAAAGATATAAATGAGTTTTCAGGCATCAAATACAATTTCTCTTCAAATAATTTTATAAGCAATTCTTTCTTGTTGAAGTAAAAATCTCAGTTTTTCGGAAAATGCAGTACCAGCGAATGTGTACTTGTTTTCAACTGTTGTGCAACAATTTGCAACTGAATGAAGTTTGGCTTAAAATAGATTTATTGCAATATTTCAAATGGCCGGTAACTAATCTTCTTCAAAACGGGAATCTGATTGTTAAATAATACGAGTATTTGACAGCACATACCCTACAAAAGAGCTTTCTATCAAGCAAGATACTTGTACGTTTTGTCATGTTGGAACTGTTAGTGTATACATTATCTGTTCTCTCCGCTAGGAGAAGGGACCTTTTAGTCGACCCTGCGCTTTGTAATCGCTTCAATCTTTCCCTGAATCTTTGCGGTATTTACCAGGCAGGAAGTGGAGCTTTGTTTCCTGTTTGTTTGCACTACTTCCAATCACATGACCCGTGATACACTTGTCACGGCAGACATATTGTTGACACGCGTCTTGAAGAGTCTTACTTTGTAAAGAGACAGTCTAGGTACGCTATGTTTAGCTTCTAGTTGAGGGGAAAATTCGCACCATTAACCCAAGAAATTGCTTTAATTCATCTCGCCTCGCTATAAAAAAAGAGAAAGAGAAGAACCTCTCTAACCAACAATTTATCGTCCCGCAAACACCATAACTCGAAAGGGAGGTGGTAGTCATCTGGATGAAATCCTATCCAGTATCTAGGAATGCCTGAGCTATCACTTTTTATCCAAAGCAGTTATCAAATACTCTATATTTTTTTGTGTGATTCAACTCGTGAACAAGGGATCTTGGCAGACAGAATGACAAGAATTAAAAATTACTTGACAACCAATCTTGTTTTTCCCAACGGGCTTGCGCTCATGGTAACTGCTAAGCGTTAATATGTGTTGTGTTGTTGTTTAGTAAGAATGGTCAGTCATTGGTGACCAAACCACTTCTATAACATCGATCTATTGTTTGAGCTCAATTTTTCGCATTTGTTACCGTCCGAAAACAATAAAGCAAAAGGCGAAAAAATGGAGGGGGTTTTGCAATTAGACCGAAGCCGGCACGCAAGAGAATGTGGCAATTGTGGATAAAAACGACAAATCAACCAAATAAAGTCACTGAAGATAGTATCATCTCAGATCTTTCGTTTACTTGTGGTTCAACCGGCGATAACGGGTTTGTTCCGTTACAAACACCTTGAATGCTCAACATAAAAGATTCTTGACAAACCAGGTTTCTTATTTTCCTAACGGGTTTGTGTTCATAGCAACTGCAAAGCAGTGGTACGTTGTGAGGTGTTGTCCTGTAAAGAAACAAAGACCATCGATTGGTGGCCAAAACAGAAGATATCATTGAGCTTTTGTTTTCACTGCTGACGTATTTTATACATGAAAAACTGATCGCTAGCTCAGAAGTTTTCCTCTTGACTTATTGAGACGACATCGTTCTAAGCAACGAGAAGTGCCAATGTAAAGTACGTTCAAAAGCGTACATACATACAAGCGCTTGCAAAATAAAGAAAAAAGCGAGTCTGCCAGAGAAAAATGGAGGGATTTTGGAAATGTATAGGTAAATACAATTTTGGGTAAGATTTCCGTATAACTCCATACTTCATTATGCATTCAATTCTTGGATAAAGGAAAGCAGAGGCAAAACAACACATTTCCTTTAGGACTTCGGCTTTGTTTTTGATCGGCACATGGTTCTACGGAAATCTTTCCCAATTTTTTTTGCCCATAACCTTTCTTTTGATCAATTTACCCCACATTTTCCAGTAACAAAAATTCTATTTGCTTTTAGTGTTGGCGATCGTGAGAAGTTTAGCGACATGCGTCAGTGGAAAAAGCTGCTCTGCAGTTAACGAGGCAAGTTTGAAAAAAAAAAAAAATAATATCTTTACTGTATGTACTTTCAATGTTTACTTTTCTAATAAGTCTGGTTCGAAATGGTCCGAGATCAGGTGATGAAGCCATCTTTAGTCCAGTCAAAGTGAGAATGAAGCCTTGGCAGGTGCTATTAAAAGTACAGTATGCCAAATACAATGGTCTCTTAGTCTCACTAAAAAGCGAACGCTAACCCCGACAACATTCATGGTTGTTCTTCGGAGTTTGGTGCAACTAATTCGTCTAACAGTCTACTGGTAACTCGAAACAGGAGATGAGTTGATACTCGATAGATTTAAAGTAATGGCAATAGACACTTTCTGAAATTTCTCTGAAGATGGTCGGCACACTCTTGAAACAACAGTTCTTTTTTCTAAAGCTCGTCGCATAGTCGGTCCATCTTGCCTTCACTGATTTTTAGCAGATATTAACCTGCTGGCTTTACTTGCCCGCCAAATATATTTCTCAAAAAGACGATGACTACCTTTTCTGTTGCCTGTATGTCCCGGTTAGGCCTGATTTCAGACAAGTACGGGTAGAAGTGAGTTTATAACATGCAGCTGCCTTCGATCTTGAACAAAACCAATGCGGCATTTTGCATAATTTTTACTTTATTTGCTGTACACTTCGCGAAGCAGAACATGATTATTTAAACTAAGCATTTGTTTGCCAGCTTTTTCTTATGGACAAACAGTTGAATGAAATGTAAGAAAGTGGTCAGACAAAACCTTTTTTTACCCAGGAACATGAAGTCAGTATAACCACTTGGTGTTCGACAAACAAGTGTCGAACACCGATTCTTTAGGCCATGTCTACACTATACCGGGTAGCTCGTGCGCCGACACAAAAACCATGCATATCGGATAGTGCTTCTGTTCACAAAGGCAACGCTGATTTCGGCGCGGTTTTTACAACGGATCGACACTGCGACGCTTCGATGGTGAAATTTTCACTTGTGAATAAGTCTAAGTCGTGAAGATTTATCTTCAAGATTGCTATTTATGAAACTCGGTCTTTATTTTCCAGTTTACTAAATCTGCGAGGGCTTGAAATATTTACTAGATAGACATACTTTCAAAGTCAGTCTACGAAACCAGACAGGTTTAGATAGAGAATAATCATTTCACTTTGGTTGAAAACACTGAGCTTAATAACACTGACTGATCTCAGACTTTACCATAAAATTTACTCGAGTTAATTTGATATTGTTACTCAATTATCCCTTTGCATTAGTTATTCTAAATTTCGTTTACTATGAAAAACCTTTGGATACCTTAAAAATAACGTTGCAATTATTTTGCTCTCTCTGCATCACAGATGACCGCGCGGCTTAAATAAAAATTTAAATCGATTGCATAAGTCATTATTTCTCACCATGTCTTAAATCAATCTGTTCTTAAAAAAACCAGAAAGAGCTAGATCGTTTATGATCACGCATTATGATTTATTCCGCTAAAAAGCCGTCAGAGATAGGAAATGAGAAACTTAGAAATAAGCGCTGTTTACGGCAGAAGGAGAAGTGGATCAAAATTTGGCAAATGCCATTTCGACATCACGTTATAGTTCTTAGCCAATCAGATAGCAGCTTTTATGATGGAGATCGAAGTAATTGATTGATTAGTTCTTCATTTCATTTGCTAGCGTGGACCGCTTGTTCTCAGTACCGCCCAAAAGCTTATCAGATACCCTTACGCATTCAAAGAAATTTGACTGAAGTCATTGTCACTACTAGGCCTAAGTCTCCTTCCTGTTGTATAAGTGTAAAAAGAAAACTATTTTCGCGTTATAAGAAGGCGGAGCCGAAGCCGCTAAATTTGCATGTTACAAACAATGTTTTGTTGAATACGCTGCTTTGAATATTTATTAAGTAACGAAGGGTTTCGATGAGTTTTTGCCGTCGTTGAAATGACAGCGAAGTTTATATTCACTTAAATGTGGTAATTAAACGCGCCATTTATCGCACAAGAAATATCCGGTATGCCAGACTATTGCTTCACTGATAATTTAGTTTTATCGCCTTAGTTGATAATGTAAATTTTCCACCATCAAGAGATTATATAGCTGACGTTTCAAGTGTTAGTCCTTCGTCAGGCGAATCGCTGTGACGAAGGACTAAGGCCCGAAACGTAGTTGATCAGTATAACCATTTATCCCTTAATTCTTCCACCAACGCAGTACCACAGTTTCTTTAGGGACTTATTCCATTGTTTATTTATTCTTCTTCATTGCGATGATGTCAAACGGTCTGCTGTGCGCTAAAAACCATAAGGAATAAAATACTCGACAAAGGAAAAATCTTTGAAATTTATTGAACGGATTACACCCACGCCTCAAGTATTTCAAGCAAAGAGAAAACGTGTTCCAGTCGGGCAGAAGTATTGTAGATGATATTATTTACGAAAACAACCGTTATTTTTTCCATTTATTATCTATTCGGTATAATCACGAGCTTAATGTATAACCACCAGAAAATGACATGCCTAATGTTTCTTGGTCTCATTTATCAATCTACAAGAATTCTACCTTCACATATCCACTATTTAAAAAAATTCATCCTTTACCAAATCCACCGTTCACAGCATGGGAAAATCAACTTTCCCTATATTTAGTATCTATTAGACAGTTATCAGGGCGCAACGTTTGAAAGATAGTTTCGATATTTCTTCATTTCCTGTGCCAAAGAATGCCAAAGGCCGAGCCTGCAAGGGGAAGTGGGGGACTCTGGTGACGAGGATAATTTCACTGTGGGCGATGAATGGCTAAAATGGCGGTATTTTCGTGCAGGTGTTTGCTGAAAGGAAATGCAGTTTGTTTCATCACACAATCGTGATGTCTTTATCAGAAATCTTTGAAAATTTTGATGTAACTTGAAGGTATATTTGAAAATTGCTAGAAAATCTGGGAGACAAAAAATTGTGTCTTTTACGTGGCAAGGTCACTCAGCTGGAGAAAATCTTTACACTCTTCATGAAAAAAGAATATCTCTTTCGTAACTGGCAGGTATCTCCTTTCACTTTCAGACTTACTGTGATGCAACAGATTCCTGCCAAGGAGTTAATGAAACATGGTACGTTAAGTGGTTCTTGTAGTGTCATTAATGCAACTTATACTTTCAACTTATCAATCAAACTCATGATGAGGTAAAACTCGGATAGGCGTTTGAATAATTATAATATGTACATGTGAAGTGCTTGTGAAAGTAAAGTTTTTTTACTTAAGTGTCAAATTTGAAATTTGGTCGAAGGCTCCCTACTACCTGATATTCGTAAATACCAAGTGCCTGTGCTCTTGGTGATACTTGAAGAATACCTCGTTCTTTCTCGGTGTTAGGTGAAGAATACCCTTTCTTTCTATTTAAGTTAATGTTTACATTGATGAATTCAAGACAAGGCTGCAAAGACTCAAATTTAATATTGCAGTGTAGCAAAAGGTTTTCTACCTTTGCAGATGATATACATGTAGTAAGGATGCCATATTGGTAGCTTGGCAAAATAAAGATAAATTCCACTGCATTCCTAATGATAGGGACTTTAATTAGTCAGGATGGCAACGCCATGGAAGACGTCGATTAAAAACTGAGTTTCTACATTTAGTTAGAATTTCGAAAATGGCTGCATGTGTTTACATCTCATAGGGCGCCAGACCTCAAACTCAAAATAACGCATAAAAGTAGTGTTGAGTTCCAAATGTAAATTAAAATAATTTGCCGCCGTGGTTTCGCTTCGAAGACGACGCAAATTTTGGTGATTTCACGTTTTTGTTTTGCAAAAGACGGCTAAGAAATGTACAAAGTTTTAAAATGCACATGCTGGGCTATTGTTCTGCCAATTTGATCTATTGTTTTTCCACGTTCTTGCTGCCGTAGCCATCGTGGTTAGCTTAAAGTCCCTAAAACCTGGTCATCTTATTTTTGCCTTTTGTGTAGGTGTTCATGACTATAATTTTAATTGCTCTTTTTTGATAATAATTGGCTTGGCACGGATCTTAAGTGGCTAGATCTTAAATATTCTCTTATTTGTTTATGTGTAGACAGAGCTGAAGTGCCGGTCAATGTTTAATTAATTGAAAGAGTAACTTTTCAATTGAGAGGGACTGTAGATTCCACAGGAATTGCTGATCCAGTTATTCTGTTTCATTGCAGTTTTGACTGTTGTAGTCATGTGAATGAGCGCTGAGAAACTGTTGAACTATTTGGAAAGATCTGCAAGCACCTTCCTCTCATCTGCTCTGAATTAGGACATGAATTGCCGCAATACAATTTTAGCAGTGCAGCTCCTATGTCCAGCCATTATTCACATCCTTCTCTCGCCCACTCGATCACTGTCACTGTGGGACCAAGTGGTGTGACTATATCATCCGCTCTAGCAAACTCGCATCATGCCTCTGGTTCCCATCTTGGCAGTATGAATGCTTCCATGGCAGCTGCCATGAATGGCTCTATGGGGGCTGCCTCTTCTGTGGTAGCTAGTATGAGTGGTTCTGAAGCAGTTTCTGTGATTTCTTCTCAAGTAGCTACTCTGAGTGCTTCTCAAGGAGAGAGTCTGAGTGCTTCTCAAGTAGCATCTGTAATTTCCTCTGAAATAGCTAGCCTAAGTGCTTCTCAAGGAGCAAGTCTGACTGCCTCTCAAGAAGCGAGTCTGTCTGCTTCTCAAGCAGTGACCAGAATTTCCTCTCAAATAGCTAGTCAGAGTGCTTCTCAAGGAGTAAGTCTGACCACCTCTCAAGTTGCAAGTATAATTTCCTCTGAAAATGCAGGCATAAGTGCAAGTCTGTTTTCTGCAATTGGTTCCTCCGTTACAGGAGATACGAGTGCCTCTCATGCCATTGGTTCCTCTATGGCAGCAAGTATGAGTGCCTCCCATGCTGCTAGCATGAGTGCCTCGTACATGTCAGGGGGTGTTATGTCATGGTCTTCTCTAGAGACTTCAGCTTTTGGCACCATGGTTGCTTCTATTAAACCAAGTTCCCAAAGCTATTTTCGCTCAAGTAGTCCTGCTGTAGTTGGTCCCCCATGGAGGTCAAACTACAACCTCAGTGAGTCCATGGAAAGTTGGCTCAGTTTCATTAAGAACAACAGCATGTGTGACCATGGCGGAAAATTCTGCGGATTAAATCTGCAATGTATTCCTGAGGATCAGCCATGCACAGTTTATCTCTCTAATGATGCACTGAAGAACTTGAGTAACACGGCCTGGTGTGTTAATTGTTCATCAGAAGAGTATTTCTGTCCATTGTTTATGCAGTGCATCAATGTTAGTGAAAGCTGTTCTTATGAGAATCTCGATCAATGGATCAATTCTAATGCTAGTATGGGGCTAGCTGATTTGGCCTGTGGGGAGAATGGGACATTTTCTTTTGCAACTATGGAGTGTGTTCCAGAGAAGCATCACGGACATGATGAATGTGGACATGGTGAAGTGTTCTGTCCTTATAGCGCATCCTGTAAGAATAGAGCTGATTGTGCTCCTTTCCCAGAACGGAATTACACTGAAGCTCTAAAGAATGATTCTTTTGGTAAGAGTGATAATACAGTGTATGTTTTCAAACTTATTGGACGTGAGAATTTAAACTCCATTTTTATGTGGGAATGAGAGATATCATGTGATTCAATGACAAAAAAACTGAGACAAATAATTATATAGTTTGTAATTGCAGGAACAAAGACAGTTACTCAAAAATTAGTCTTTTTTGACAGAATTGATTTTTTATATCTTTGCATTCTTATTCATTGTGCATTTTTACTCTTTGAGTTACTGAGGTGACCTTTTGTGAAAACAGAATTGGCTTTACCTTTTATCCTTGACACCCTAACATTGTATCCATATTTCTATGTACTTTTCTTTATGCAATTCCTTTGGTTCTAACAAAGAGAATTTGCTTAGCAATCAAAGTTAAAAGGTGATCATTTCCTTAATTTGACATTCTCAAAGAATGATTCAGCAGTATTAATTTTCAAAGGAGAAATTGGATGTTGGTTCTTCCCTGAGGGCCTAAAAGGTTAACTAGAGAAGCAAGTCAGTTTTCATGCACATATGTCAGTCTACCCACTCTCTCTCTCTCTAAAGAAAGGAATGTTGACTGTCAAAGAATGCAAACTATGTGACGGAATAAGTTTTCATTTCTAGTTTATTGAAAGCAAATTTCAAATCTTCTATGGATCTAACTTTTGATTTCCATTTACATGTGAAAGAACTGGCTCAGATTGGCTAGTGCATTAGATATTTAGGAAATGTTTTGAAGATATTGACAGAAGTAGACAGTGTTGTCTGATGCCTCTTTTTTCTCTTCAGGCTGGGTTCGAATGTGTCAATTCAGAAATCTGGTTTGTCCAAGGGTTGCTATTGCTTTGGAGGATTGCAAACTCGACAAGAGAAAATGCAATTCGTGAGTAGCAAGAATATGTCTCAGTAAATCATTGTTATGAGATGGATTTTCATGGTCATTAATGAAAGGTATCTTTTGTATGCTTTTTGTTTTGTAACAAACTGGCATGATCTGAACAAATGAGTGTTACTTTGCTAATACCACAGACATTTGGTTATTGCATTTGTGAAAACTGATTTTAATTTCTTTGATTGGAAAAGTTTAGGTAGAAAAATGTTTCATAAATATGCATTTCATTTAATAAGTGAAATGTAAGTGTATAACTGCAAGGAGATTTGAACAGAAATAATACGTACCTCAGCTGTGTATGTTCACTTTGGTTATGTGTTCAATTATTTTCTTCAGGAGCTGTCCTGATGGGCAGAAGGTCTGCAATGATCACCACTGTATCCCTATAGATCAGAAATGCTGCCCTGTGGGTGAAACATTTTGTAATCTAACTAACCTGTGCTTGCCAAATGGAACTATGTGTTGTCCTACAGGTAAAGTCTGTTATGAAATTATTTCTTGGATTTCCAAAGACTTATTAGGCCTTATCAACTAGTACATATTTTGTTGGGGCTCAATTAGTTGTTTTCTTGGGTAGAAATCCTTAATTTCACAGTACTTCTTAATCTCTCATCACATGGACATGTTTGAATGTAAAAAAATGCTGAAGCTCTGGAAGATTTAGGCAATACTGATAATCCATTTGATAATTTTGCTTCAGGCCTTAAGATAACTGACAATAAAATTGTGGTTAGTCAACACATCAGCCAAGTGGCTAAGCATTAATTGTTTAATTCTATGATCTTCAGTGTAAATCAATCCTTGACTCTGTCTGCCATAAATTTCTCATTGTTTTGGCCCCAAGAATTTGGTCCTATATCAAACAACTCCTCGGTGCTCTATGTTTTTCTCTCTCCATTTTTCTTTCTGCTTGAAAATGCAGATGTGTAAGGAGAGATTTGGTATTGGTCACTCTTGGGAACGAAAGAACTAAGAGACTAGTGCCCCATGTTAGCCATGCGGCTATTACATCTCCCAGTAGCAAAAAAATGACACTGAATTTATTTTCTATTTTGACAGGTCAACAATATTGCCAACACACTGATGGCTGTAAGCAACCAGCAGATTGTCTACCTCCAATTGCCAATGTTACCTTTCCAACAGTGTGGGAGTATCTTCAGCTTGGTGATGCTTTGAGCAAGGGATTTTTTGAACAAGGTGATGTTGCTGTAGCACTTAGCAGTCTAGAGAAACATGGCGTAAATGGATCCTTGGAGTTCTATAGCAATAGCAAATGGACTGCTGTCAATGCCCTCACAGCAACTACAGCTCTGGTGTTGGGTAAAACAAGTTACCTGAGGTAATTAATAAAAGAAATTAATCTCTTTCAAGAACATTTATCTTTAAAGCTTAATATACTTAGGTCTTGATGTGTGCAGGTTGATTTGGTAGAGGATAGTTACAAGAAATTTTGAGAATGAAATGGATAATTGGGCTCCAATAAAGGAGAGATGGATATCTCACTGTGCTCTCAAAAAAACTTCCTCCTTTGAGTATTCTTTTGCAGTTGACTTTCATAGTGATTCCTGCACAGGTTGTCAAAATATTAATCACTTTTTTAGGTGAATCTGTGTTCAATTGAGTGTTGAAAGTGATCCAGGATTTCTTTCTTCTTTTTTTTTTTGTTTGCTTTACTAATGCATGGCTTATAACCCCAATAATATTGTAGTAATGAAATCTCTTTAGATTATTGTAAAATATCTTTAGTTTATTGTGGTAATCAAACTTCTTTAGCTTGCAATGTGTAGTATTTACTTAATATTTATTTCTAATACCCACCAAGACTAGCTAATGCTATATGCGGGTTGCGTAAATTTGCATGTAATGTTCTGTAAAATAATAATAAACAACTAGTCACTCTCAGAGGTCAAAGATTACAACCAATTTTCAAATGAGTATCTATCTATGAGTATACTTCACTTTGTGATTGGTCCACAGAAAGTGTACTTCTCTTGCTGCCAATGAAATGCATTTAACCCCTCTGACTCCCATGAGTGACCAAGATGGAATTTCTCCTTACAATATCAATACAATTTCAAGCAGTCAAGTGATGAGAATAAAGAAAAATATCAATTAGAGGATTATTTGTAGATCCAATACCAATTTCTCCAAACTAATATCATAAGAATGTACATGTATAGCAGACAGTTAGGAGAATAAACAACAAGATCATGGGAGTGAAAGTGTAAACTAAAACCAATCACGACTTGGTCTCTTGTGTTTTCCCTGCACTTTAGGCAGCTGGCTCTAAAAGGTGTTTTCCTTTCCTCTGATTAGACTTTGTTGTTAACTTTGATTTCAGTTTTAAGATACTCAATTGAAAAGTGCTCTATGGAGAACACTTATTTGAAGGACATCTAGGACAATCAGATGTGCTCCTGAACCTCTGTAAAACTGTAAATATTTGTTTAGATATTGTTGAGAAGGCCATGAATGAGAATAAGAAGGACATAGACTGAGCTAGATAGCCAGACATTCCTGTAGAATGATTTTTCTGTTGATGCCTAGGAATCTACATTTACTCATTGGTTTATATGTTTTTCTTTTGTCAGATTTAACCCTACAAGAAAGGGATCTCATGGTATTGTACTGGTTAACTTTACTGCGTACAGTGATTCTTCCAAAGTTGGTCAATACATGGATGCATCATCTAAGAAGTGGACACATGGAAAGACCATTGCCATTTTTGTTTTACCATCTGTGGTACCCCCAGAAATGGTGTATAATGGCTCCCTTTATACTGTGGCAGAGGATAGCAAGGGTGAAGTGGATTTTGATGTAAGTGTAAAGCTTTCAAACCACAAATTGGCAAAGAGAGTGTGAGAAGCTGAATGATTTCATGTTTTTGTGACGTGCATGTGGTATTAGAGATTGACTTGGTGATTTTAGAGGGGAGGTGAAGTAAATTCCATAGTTATCAATTTGAAAAGAATATTGCAGTTATATGTAGGGGGTTTGGTACCAAGGCACAATATTGAAACTACCTTAAGACTTCCCTTTGGTGATTATCCCTGGTGCACAATAAAGTAGAGTGACCAGCATGTAATTCCCTCTTGTAGTAATACTGCTGAATCATTCATAAAGATCAGGAGAATAACAAAAATGATAGCCAACCTGGGATGCTTTGATTATCAACCAATTCTCCTTAGTAGCAGAGGCAGCAACAAATGGGATACTGACGTTAGGGTGAAAAAGCTTAAGGTTAAGTGCACAGTCACTCTCGAGTAAGACTGTATGCAGGGATTAGAAAGGAAAGAATTTGAACAACACTTTTGGTTAAATGAAAACAAACACCCTGTTCTTGTTTATAACCTGGAAATGTAATAACTACGTAAATCGATATTTCATCCGTGTTAATCTGTTTCTACTTCTTGTTTGGTTATAGATATGGGATCACCTATATGACAGCTCTCCAGAGGGCAATACAAAAAGCCACATCCCTGATGCCATACTTGCAGATGTTAACTGCAAAATGGTTGAGCTTTACAATGAGTTACTGAAGGATTTATCATCTTTGAAGCTTGCACTAAAAATTAAAACAACATCAGGTAAGTAAAGCTTTGAAATGAACTATGACCGATAATCCACAATTCTAATACAAAAGTGAGATAAATCTTCCTAAACCCACTTTTCATCAATAGTTACGAACAATAATTGTTTGAGTATAACACACAAAATGATTTCAAAAGTTTCTCACAGAGAAATTCTTTTAAAATGATGATCACCATGAAGCTGTTATCATTATAATTTCTAATTAATATATTATTACAGAACTGTTATTTTTTATTATACTATTGTAATGTTATTCATTGTTTCATGCTTTGATAATACCAGTTTATACTTTTCTAAATTATATTTTTTGCAACCATTCTATTTTGTAGAAAATGTAAAGTTTAAAGGAGGAGAAGCCAAAGGTTACCTTTCAAACATGACTGAGATCAAATTTACTCCTAAGAAAGACTTTAATGGCAATGTAGAAATTAGCATGGAAACCTTTCTGGCTTCTCGAAAGAAGTCCTCTTTGGCCATTTCCCACTTTTTCTCCCACGAAGTTACAGAAGCTCTGCATATGACAGCTGATTTAAAGGTGAGTTAAACATGATTTGTTTGGAGAAGCGAGGGTAAGAATTTCTCCATTATGTTAGCACTGGCAGTGTAAAAATCCACTTTTCTTTGCTTTCTGACAGGGAGGTTTACAAGATTTGACAAAGAAGGTGCTTTTCAAGATCATGAAAGACAATTTGAAGCCTACTTCTGATAACATCCGCACAGCTATTCAGAATTTAAATGGTATAACTTTAAATGCCACAGATGTGGAAGCCGTTTTTGGTCATGTCGTCCAGCTCATCAATTCAAGTAAGTTTACTCTTTACACTCTAACATCAGCAATATTCTTCTCCGTATTGTTCTCTATAAATTGTCTAAGTTGCTGACTAAAAGGATTTGTTTAACAAACAAAGGCTTCTTTCATTGGTGATCATTCTCTTTATTCTCCTGGGGTCAGGCTGTGAGGAGAAACTGGATGCTAGTCTCTCAAGGCTAATCAAAACTGTTTTTCTTGATTCCACTGACCATTCTGAGTAAAATCCTGAACTTAACAGGGGAAAACATAACTCATTTTTTATGTTGTGGATTAGCATAACTGTTTAAGAAGAAATGGGGTCTTCTATTTGCTTTGGAAAACCATGCCGTTTGTTGTAGCACATTTTTGTCCATTATGAATTGCATTTTCACTTGACTTTGTCTTGTTTTGGCAGGCAAGGAACCAGATGGAGACTCCTTTTCACATGTAAGTTAATTTCAAAACCAATCAATCATTTTGTTGTCATCCTGTTAGCGCATGATCTGATTGTAAATTCTCCCATTAAGCTTTAAACAAGGACCCTGACTATAAAACGACTTTTGCCCTGGGCAAGCCGTCAGTCATTTCACCCCTGACACCGAACTGTCGACATCAACCAGTCCGTGACCGTGCGATATCTGCAAAACTATTGTAACCGAAAGGTCACTTGCAGCCAGTGCATATCTCAAACTTCTACGAATTTTGCCATTTTCGTTTACGGCAAAGAAAAGATGATCGGCTCCACTCAGTTGGCTCCACGGAATGTACACCCNATATGTACATGAAAACCACTCTCTCTGAGCATGTCACAGTACTGAGATCCTCTAGTCAATGATATCGACGGCTCAAGAAGTTGAGGCAAACGGAGGGGAGTCAGAGGGCCAGTACGACCATCTCGCGATAGGAGGAGCCGTTAGGAGCGCGAAATTCAAATTGCGATAGCCTAATTTTTTGAGTTTTGCAAATGAAGATCAGTATTTCTCCATTCGTCCCTTTTTAATCGTCAATAAAAACATTTTCAAGTGGAAATCAATTGAAACAAGACAAGGATATCGGTCTTCGTGTACAAATCTCTTTTTCCCCCTTCACCTTCCATTAGTCAGCCATCTTCGATTAGCCATGGAAGCAGAGATTGTGTTACAAGACGGGGGAGGAGCTATCCCTTTTATAGTCAGGGTCCTTGTTTAAGCTGTTACACATTTCTTGGTAAATTACCGGTAGTCAGGAGAATCAAGATAACCTCTACCTGATGAGTTTGAGTAGTCTCATTTCCTGTTTGCTGGATGATGTTTGGATAATTATTATAGGGAGAAGTTACATGTTAATCACTTTTGGTAGTTAAAGGACTAATTGCATCTTCAACAATGCTGAGGATTTGTTGTCACCTACAGCAGTTACAACAAATGACTAAGTGATTGATTTAGTGACTTAGAAATAATGAGATTTGCTTACACGATTTCTTTTTTTGTTAAAATTGTAGTAGACTGGTGATTTTTATTATTCATATCACAGATTTCGGCTAATAGGAAGATCATCGAAGTTGATCAAAGTGGAGAAGTTCTTTTTCATGGTAATGTGACGGTGATAACAATAACTGTCACACCAGTGAATGACCGACCAGTATTAAAGTACACAGGAGGAGCCTTTGACCCGCTCCCGTACGAGCTGTTTGCAGGATGGAATCCTGGAACATTTGTCAGAGATATATTTGACCAATCCAAAACAAATCCCCTTGCAGAAGACATTGACGATAGAGCAATGGAACTTGGAGCTGTCATCCTGTCTGTAGGCAATGGCTCCCTTGGACGCTGGCAGTATCAAATGAACAGTTCAATGGCCTTTCGAGAATTTACCTTCGACGAAGATGCAGGGGAGGTTTTTCTTCTACCACCAGCCGCCAGGTACATGTATACCTCCAACATGAAGTTGAATTTTAAGTGGGAAAATGTGATTTAGGCAAAGTATAACACAAGGCAATGCTTCATAAGCTAATAGATGATAAGTTATATAAAACCTCTATTACATTACATCAGACATTTTGCTGATAACTAATTACATAGTGATCTCAACATTTTCCTGATGATGGTATGAATTTTTATTTCTGTGTTTGCACCCATTCCCGGTTTACTTGACTATGATATTAGGATCAAGATGGAACTTTACGACAACCAATCTGTTTGGAGCTCTTCACAAGCGTTGAAACGAGGAGCAGTTATACGGGTCAGAGCGTGGGACATGACCGATGGAAATGTGCCAGGGCTTTTTAATATAAGTATTTTATCGGAGACATCTGTTAGCAAGAAATTTGCCAACCTTCGTCTTCTGCGGCGAGGTTGCGATAACAAGACAGACTTCCCTTCCAAGAATGACCGATGTGGTGTTTGCAGAGGGAACGATGCTTGCGTTAAATGTGATGGTGAACCGAATTCAGATGCTTTTTATAGTAAGTATAATCTAATGTAGTTATATTGTCTGATGCTGTTTTTTTTTTTGTAAAGATCTCAGATATATAAACTGATTACAAAATTTGCTGATCCATTCGTTATTTTGACAAGAGAGCTTGCGGTCTACTTATGGGACGTGATACAAATTGAAATATCTTGTTTTCTTGAGTTTCATTCGTGAAGGTATAAAACAGTATTTTAAATGTTATACCAAAGGCCATGTATGAAGTCCTGAAATTTATTAGTAGTGTGTAATAATCTGAGGAAACTAGTAACTCTTACCACCCCTTAAAGGGATTAAAATGCAATTGGTACATCTTGTGTTCAAGAAATTTTTGCCTATTTGTTACTAATACTAATTACAAGTTTGGTGTCATGATTTTGCTTTGTCTTTTTTTTCCTAGATGATTGCGGATATTGTGTTTTAGGGAATACTAATAAGACTGCAGATTACAAGAAAGACTGTGCAGGGCATTGTGACAAAAACGTCCAGAATAATGATACTTGCGGGACGTGCATGAACAAGAATAAAATCAGAAATCTGAAAGATTGCACAGGATTATGTTTTGGAACAGCATATGTCGATGAGTAAGTGTCAATGATAAGACATAATTTGGATATATCAACAAAGTTGAAGTGGTAAATTGGCCACCGTAACGATTACAAAAGCTGACGTTTCAAGCGTTAGCCCTTCGTCGAAGCGAATAGAGGAATTGTGGGTTGTGTGTGCTTTTAAAGGAAGAAAATGGAGCTACGTTATTGGTGGGAACATGACAAAGAGAAAAACAAGAATTAATTAGTGGAATGAAAAGCGTTCGTTGATCCCGGTGGGATTTAGACTGCCGGTTTGAAAGATGAGCTTTTGTTCAAGATTTTTACGGCTTTCCGTGCTACCTAAGTGTAAGGAAAGACCGCAGATTGCCATATGTTGCTAAATGTGGTTACAAACGTTGTGAAATGATTGTATAAAAAGTTCCATATTTGTTTGCGCTTGTTATTTCGATAACTGTCAATAGTTTTCAAATCCTTTGAAATTGAATTTAGTCCTCCTATGACTGCCTTTCGTGTTAAATCAAAGTCCCCCAACTAACCCTTAAAAAAAGTAATTTCAAAAGTTAGCAATGTGGACATCAAGGGTGTGCTCTCTGTTGTATTCAAGTTGCGGCAACTGTACTGGGGGTGATACAGGACTGAAAATCAACTTCCGACAAGATTCCTGTAGCGTCTGTGGAGGAGACAATACAAGCTGTACTGATTGTCTCGATGTACCCAACGGCGATGCAGAACATGATTTTTGTGGAAATTGTACGAGTAAGAGTGATCCTAAATTCAACAATGGGTGTGCAAAGTTTGGTCGGTTGGATCCGGTCAGCGGAAGAGCGGGAGCACAAGTTCAGATTACGGTTAAGGGTGCTGGTTTTAAGTCGTATACTCTGACCACTTGTGAATTCAATCATACAACTACCAATCAAAAGTAAGAGCAACTCTTTAATTTTTTCTTTTTTTTTTTTTTTTAGAGTTGGTTAGTCGAACCCTTGTTTTACGCTTCTTTTTATTTTATTATTATGCAATTTTTCTGTGAGAATATATTTTTGTATGTTGATGAAAGATAAAGTTCTTTTCTTTCTTTCATCAAGAAAATCTTACGTACGCAGGAAACGCGAGACAAGTTACTTTCAAGTAGAAACGCCAAAGCGCAAGCGGCAAACGTGAAAAAATGAATAATAACAACAAGGTCACTTGGTCACTCTTGCTTCTTACGTTTACGTAAACGCGATGCTAAATCTCTCTGTTATCATTTTCAGGTACCCCGCGTCATCCAGCAACCATATTTCCAATAAAAATACATTAACCGTGACAGCACCTTCGAACTTGCCATCAGGCAATTACACCGTCCTGTGCAGCTTTGTTGGCAACGTTGAAATTGAATCAAAGGCAGCCGCTGCGTTTACGGTGTACAACAGTTCAGTGATTTCTCTGTCAAGTGTATCCCCGAACGAGGCTGAAATTAGCGACTCTGGCGTAAAGGTTAACATATCAATCGCTGGTACTAATTTTGTCGACACTGGCTACGTGGCTTGTGTTAGAGATGGAGGTGCAAAGCTTGCCACTGGAGTTTTCGTTAGTTCAACCGAAGTTTATTGTCTAATTACCACTTTTAGAAAGTCTGCTCTTTTCAACGTCACCTTGCAGTTTGGGAAGAATGACCCTGCAGTTGATTCCAGTGTCGAGTTCTCATTTTTTGCCATCCAGCCGAGTGCGGTATCATTGGCTTTTGATAGTAATCCCATCAAACTGTTGCTGTCTTTAGACAAGAAAGCCAAGCATAAATCGGACAATCCCCAATGTTCTGACTTTTTCGATCAAGGGACGATAGCATTATTCGCTACCGACAGTAAGTGTAAGCTGGTGAGACCCAAAACACTGCAAATTCTTTTGGTTGGCGGTGGAGCGACGATAACACCAGGCCACTCAGTTAACTTCACCAATGGCAGTCTAGCTGCGTTGGGAGAAGACAACACTAAGTTTGTCGTAGGGACAACTGAACTTTCTGTACAATCACCTCAAAATCCAGTCGTGCCACAAGTCGAAATTCAAGGCCCAAAATTTATCGGTGAGTAGTGACTGACCTGTCCATGACGTGTTGTTGTATTCCATTATGAGATGTTCGTCCCGCTACTTTCGCAGTTAATTATTTCACTTAAAGGATTGACCCAAAGTGAATTCCTCTGAACAGTATGAGTACATGTTCAAGGAAAAAGGTGCCGAGAAAAGTAGGGGATAATGTTTGAATTTCACAGCAGTTTCTCAGACTTGAAAGTATTGGGAACATATGATACAGAGTGCGCAAGGCCACTATTTATATTGTAGATCTTTAAAGGGTTAACACACGGCTTCCTTTTGAAAAATCCAAGCCAAGACCCTGTTAGGAAACTAAAATTTCTCGAATTTAAGACACCAATACTTATCTTTTTATCTCTTAGGACCATGTGCTCCCCTAGATATTGAAACGGATACGAAGGGCGATGGCGGGCGACCCCTGACTTATGAATGGCACGTCAAATCCATAGTCGGTGCAGATGCTAATACAACATCTGATTTGACCTCTCTCAATTCAACTCTTTCCGGCCTCGCAACTGACACAAGCTTCTTCTCAATCACAAAAGACCTTATTGTCAAGAACGTTGAGTATGAAATTGTTTGTAAAGGTACGAACTTCCTTGGAGAGAGCATCGAAGACACTTTCTCGGTAACCCGTAAGAATGATGCCGTCCCAGAGGTCAAGCTAAGCACATTGGGTGAAACGATGAGTAAATCAGAAAGAACGTTGATCCGTGGTATGTCTTAAACTCTTTGAGTTCTAACTAGTATGACTAGTATATAATTTCTCCTTATAATATCATTGCTGAATAAAACACAACTGTCGTAAGAATTCAGTAAGGAAATGATCATCAACTTGAGAAGCTCTTGATTGATAACCAAATTCTCCTTGTTAATACCATAGGAAATGTAAATAGAACAATATGGAGAATATGCATACTGATGTTACGGTGTAAAGGGTTAAACTCTTTGTAAATGTTTACAAATGATTTTTAATGGAGCCCGTTGGTTAGCACCTCCTTTTAACTAGCTCAGAGACTCTTTGTTCCAATTATTCTTAAATGATCCCTTGTCCGAGCTAGCAAGCAACGAAACTATCAGGTGAATGAGCGAGCAAGCAAACAAACAAACGTTACTTGAAACCACCTTAATTTGTGTATTGCACCTGCTTTCTTTCCAGCCTCGGTTAGTTTGCCAGGGTGCAATGGTTCCGACGCCAGCGGCTTCGAGTATGCCTGGGAGTTGAAAGACTCAAGTGATGAAGTAGTTGATCCAGGTTCACACACAGATTCCGACAAACCTTATCTGAAGCTCCATGGAAGTAACTTAGTTGGGGGCGAGGTAACAACTCTATGCTTCAAGTATCAAGTAAAGCTATGATCCTCTCAAGTGCGCTGCGATTTAAGCAATTACAGAAAAGCCTAAAAGAATATTAGTTTGGACGGGACTCGAACTCGTTCTTCCCAGGTATAATTTAGGCGCCACTACCAACTGAGCCACAGAGGCGCAGGTTGGGAGCACGGCAAATGCTTTGGAGGTTCCTCTTTCCTGTGGAGGCATCTGACCCTAATTGTGAACACTATGCTTGTAAACACGGTTGGATTCACCCTTAAACTGATCACATACTCTTCCTTAGGTCGGAGGGCATGCACCAATAGTTTTTTTTTTTGTTGAGTTCAAGGACATCATCGGCAACAGGCCATAATTTGGCCTAAGAAGAAACCCGGTGGTTATCAAAGTCTTTTCTGTCAGCACTAAAGAATTTCATGGAATACTTGAAAGGACGAAGAGCGTTAGCATTGTGCAGTGGATACAAATTGTTATGAATTCGAACAAATCACGCATGGTTTGTGCTTAGCAAAAAAAAAAAAAACTAAACTAAAAGGTTGAAACAGTGGTTTTGATTAATTGCTTAGCGGCAGGTAAGATACAGATCTTGTGGTCTTTCTAAATTAAAGTTGTCGTGCTTTGTTTTTCTTTTTCAGAATTACACCCTGACAGTAACTGTGTTTGATAACGCCAACCTTGACATATCCGCTGAAGAGACCATCCCCATTGAAGTGACGTCGAGTGATTTGATTGCGCGAATTTCTGGTATGATAAATGTATCTTATTATTGAAGACTGATAGGAAAGCCTGGAGAATAGCCATTATCTATGACCTGGGGGGTTGGAGGATTTAATTGTGTCACCATAAAATATTCCTGAACCTCCCCATAAGGCTGTGTAGAATTGTTTGACCACCCCTCCCCCCCTCTCCTGTCATTGGTAACCAATTGACAGTTTGTATAGCCTCCCCATAACTGCTTATGTACCGGTACCAAGTTGAATTACACACGCATTTTGATTGGTTCTGTCTTATGATCTATTGCAAGATAGATGTATAGACGACGTCACCATAACAAGTTTTTGCTTCTCTATTATTTAAAAAAAATTGATTCCATGTTGCCAAGGGTCGGTTCTGTAACAGAGCACACACTCAGTTGCACCTCGTTTGCAATTTTTTCGTTCTTACCTCACTTTGACGTCATTTGTCATCTATAACAGAACAGAAGTGTAGCAACATAGAATGTATTTTTTCAAAGACGCAGAGCACTGATTTACTTTACACAGTAAACCGAAAAAATGAAAGGAGTAACTTAAGAAGTTGTCCCTCTCTACTGTTTTAACTTTTGTTCCTCTTTACGTTGATTTTGTGGCAACCGTCACAGCACGTTTGAGTGATTCATGATGTACTTGATACTGTCAGGTGGTGTGTCGTTTGACGTGGGTTATGGAGATTTCTTAGTGCTGGATGGTAGCGAATCAGAAGACCCAGATGAAACTGACGATGATCCTAAGTACCAATGGGAATGTACAGATTCTGAAGGGACCTGCTTCTTTTAAAACCAACGTGTTTTTTTGAACAGTCCTGCTGTTGTAAACAAGAGTGTGGCATCATTTCTGGAATCTGGAGAAACGTGAGTTTTGGTTGAAACTCACCTACTGTGCCAGATTTAACCTGTCACTTAGGAAGTGGCGTTTTCCACTGAGCGCTTCAAGCAGTTTGTTTTTACCTCAAGTGATCAATGGCTCTTTGTGATATTGATGTTGGCTTTGGTTTTACAATTGCCAAATCGAAATGCGCTCTGTATGAACTTAAGATTCGTCATTTCTGTGCTGGAAAATAACTTTAGAATGGTAATAAAACGTACATTTTGCTGATATTTGTTATTAAACATTGTGAACTTACAGGTATACATTTACGTTGACGTATCGTAAAGGTGTCCGAAGTGCAGAAACAACAGTCTCGGTTCGAGTGCAGCAGTGCTCCCCTCCAAATGTGAAAATTCGAACCCAGAAGTCTAACAAGTTAAATCCTAAAAAAAAAATAGCAGTTCGAGGAAGAGTGAAGGCTATTGGATTCAAAGTTAATTTGGACTATTCCTTTGTGCTCGTAGAGGGTAAGTTTTCTATTGTTTATTCCTTTAAATACTTGAACGCCTAATCCTGAAAAATTAGCTGACGAGATTTGTGATGAAAGTACGATGGTTTTAGTAGTTCGAAGGTAGTCAAGACGTCAGTGGCTCAGCCGCTCGTGAAAGTCGATGAAGCGAGAACTTTATCGAGATGTGTTTTTTCAGCTCGGGAAAAGAAAATTGTGATGTTTCCCTCTACCACTGCAATGTAGCCTTCATAGGTGGTGGTTGTTTGGAAGTAAATGGGACCGAGCTTGGAAAACATGAGTAAAACAATTTTCTCTTCTCAAGCCTATTCGTTTCTTTTCCGCCCAAAAACCCTCAACAAACAACCGAGATTCTTTAATGTGATTTGTAATCTCACAGAATTCCTTAGCAAAAATTCCCGGTGTTTTGTTTTTTATAGGGTACGGGTATGAGAGCGACATCTCAAACCTTGTGTTAGTGTCTCCCCCGTCGGAAGTCACGAGTGCCACAACTCGACTTAACCAAAGATTCGGAGTGTATTTCAAAAAGAACGCCTTAGAGTCTGGGAAGTACAGCTTCCGAGTCTCAGCCAACACGACTGCTTGCAGTTCGTATTCAGAGACAGAGTTCACAGTAAATGGACCACCAATAGAAGGTGGGTGCAGTAAGGGTGTCTAGTGAAACGCTAGTTTTGAATTAAGTCGTGACATTATCTCTATGATATTCATCATAGTACCTTCAATGTTGACTTGACGTCGATTGCGATTAAATGAGATGTTGACTCTCCATGTTATGTTCTGTGTCAGGTAATTTGGTAGTGACTCCCGTGAGTGGAACAGTCTTGGATACTGAGTTCACTTTTAGAGCAGATCAGTTCAATGACGATCCAGAGGACTATCCGCTGAAGTACCAGTTTGGGTATTACGAACTTATTGACGGAGAAGAAACTGCTTCCATCATAAGTTTACCAAATCAAAGGAAGTCGAGGAAATTTTCCCTTCCACAAGGTTTGTAGACTTCACTTGCTGTGTAGTTAAAATATCTCAGCCGCACTGACGACGTTTTAGAGCACGCCCTGTAATAGGGGTATTGAAGTAACTTTCTGCGCGCGTTTTCAGGAAGCTATTAGGGACTTTACGAACCAGAACGCGACTCAGTTTGAAAACACCGAAACCGAGAAGAGCCCGGGGCGAGAACGCCGTCACGAGCGCGGGAAAAACAAAGTTACGGATGCGACCGCGACGACAGGGACAGAGCTGTGCAAATCCTTTAAACTCCGCTAAACATATTTTCGTTTTATAGCTGCTGTTATACGTCATAAATGGCAACATTCAGAGGCAAGGGAAGCTTTTTTATTTGCCTATCAAGATGGAAGCATTGATGATACAGAGTTTGCCCTGTTGTACGATTTAAATTCTTCTGAAAATCTCGAATTTCCTTYTTGGAAGTATGGTCGCTTCGATCTTGATTCTATGACAGATGATGAGTGTAAGACTAAGTTTCGGTTTTTCATGAACGATATTTATTTACTCGGTGAAGTTCTTGATATTCCAGACATAGTGAATTCAGGAAAACAGTTTTACCTCTAAGGTAGCAAAAGAAAATTTAATTCTAGTTGAAATTCAGTAGAAACTACTTCGCTTCTTTGCGACGAACCCTTTCTTGTTTTGAACGGATTCTCGGAAACAACCTCTGCATAAAAGGACATCATGCTCACTTGTCCAGTACATTACATTACTGCGTGAAAAAAGAACACTCTGTTTTAGATTCTTTTCAATATAAAACATAATATAAAGTTTAAACTCACTTTCATTGTAGAGCTAAGAAGTTTAGCGCCAAGCATGCGCAGTGAAGCACTTTGTGAGCAAATTAGTTGCGGTGACGTTCCAGGCTGCGTTGCGTTCTGGTTCGTAAAGTCCTTATTACTCCCTTCTAGGCGTTGACCGTCGTGTTTGCCCGGGAATGGCAAATTTGAAACTTGCATTGCTGGGGTGGAAAACTGGAACCAGAAGTCTCAAGTCTTTTCGGCGGAATACAAGTGCTAGAACTTTAATGATGGAGGTGTTTAAAAGGAAAGAGTTCACTTTCGCGAGGGAAAGTCACGGTCGCTGATTTTGCCTTTTGCCAAATAAACTGACCGTTAAGCCTGGCACTTGGGTCGGGCATATGAACAAAACTCTTTCCCCGAGGGGCGTGATTGGAACAAGCCAATCTTTAAAAGCTCAAATGCCCGGGGCATGTCGAAGCTTCGCTCTGACGAAGGGCTAACACTCGAAACGTCAGCTTTTTTCCTCGTTACGGTGCCCAATTTACAATTTCAACTTACTTGATATGACCAAATTACCTTGTTACCCCCACCGACGCAGCACCACAGTTTCTTTAGAAACTTTCAGCCTTCGAATCAATCGACGCATCGCCTTAAAGATTAGCCACTGAAGGTTTTCACCAGAACACGGTCCTTTACAATTACACACATCATGATTAGAGCTGATCTTTTCAAGCAAAATTTTCACAAGTAAGAACGGTTTCTCTTAGTATTCTTTTACTATAAACCTTGGGTACTAATAGAGAAGCCATGGAAAGGTGTCATTTTTATGTTTAAATCTGTTTTGGATTATAGGTGACGAGAACAATAACAATACCCTCCGAGTGTTTGTACGGGTTTTTGACAAATTTGGAGCAAGTGTGACGACCGAGAAGACTATTCAGGTTTCGCCTAAAGTGTTTTCACTCGCCGATATACGAAATTTGCAGGGCTCTGCAGCAGATCTGGAGGAAAGCCGGGACTTGGAGAATCAATTAGGTGAGACAAGGATTTTCGTGATGCTTTAAAGTTACTTCGTTTTTGTTGCACGCGGCTGAGTATTCCCAAAGCTGTTAGGTTTTGGGAGTGAGAAAAGGATCGGGGGAAGAGAATAGGAGACATAAAAATGAGGGAAAGGAAAGGAGAAGAAAAGAGAGGGGAGGGGAGGGGAGGGGANGGAAGAGGTTAGTACAGATGTGGACAGGAGGGGCAGAGCGGAAAGTGATAGAAAGGAAAGGAGGGGGAGTGGAAAAGGGAAGAGGAGCGTGGTACAGAAGTGGACGTGAGGAGGTATGTTCTTGGGTATGTTATCCCGTTTTCTCTGTAGATTGAGTCTGATACTTCTATAGCCGTGGGAAAGTAAGGTCCAACCAGTAGATTTAGACAAGAGATAAGTATCTGTTAACAGGAGCATTGCTATTTTAGGCACAATGAACACCGTACTGTCGGCAATCTCAGGGACCAGCGCCAATGCGAGTGATGACGTGATAGCATCTCTGAACGCGATTAAGCAGCAATATACTCAAATGGTTAGTAATGTGTATGCTTTGTATATCACAATTACATCTAGTAAAGCATGGACGCTGCGAGGGTGCTGCAAATTCAAAACCAACCGTAATGTGATTGTATTGGCGTCAAAGCTGAGTTCGAGTCGTGGCCTGGACAAGTTTTGTTTTTCTTTTTTTAGGGCAAAAGTACTGTCAAAGTATCTCTTTCATTCTAGGAGTACGAATATATACCAGCAGGAAACCTTGGACAAAGTCCAGGAGGTAACCTCGGTTTCCCAGAAGAGTCGAAGAAAAAAGAATCGGTTTTATTTAGATATTGAACCTCGCCCTGCCCCCGCGCCACAAAGAAAAAAAAAAAAAGAAAGAAAGAACAAAGAATCAATTAAATGAAACGGATACTAATGAATTTCTTTAAGTGTCTTGTTAATTTTGATATTTTTCGTGACAGGCTGTTAATGCGCTAGAAGTGGTTACGGGTGACAAAGATGCGGAGTTGAATGCCTTGTCCACCATGGGGAAAACAACAGAAGGAGGTGCCTACGCTTTCGATGAGTCCACCAAGAAGAAGTTCTTTTCTTTGTTCAAAAAGTTGCTTGGTGTTGTTACGTCGCCATCTAAGAGGAGACGAAGAGCGGTCGAGAATGAGATCCTTGATGTGGATTCACTGACTGGTGACGAGGTAAGGACTCAATCGAAGTTTTTCATCCTTAGTTAAACGTAGCTGTGAAGATTTCTATTCTACGTGTGTTTAAAGCCCATGTTCATTCAGTGGTTTCGGAGACTTTAGGTTTAATCGTCGAAAGCAAGTTTTTGGTAAATTTTCTCTTTTCCTTTGAACTACAGTTCATGCATTTTTTGGCTTATAATATATGTATAAGCATGTCTTAGCGCATGCAAGATTTTCCTGGTTTTCAACCCTTCCTCAATTCAGAGTAGTTTTGTTGATCATGCGAAAAATAAACTCCATCTTCCATGGCACATTTGGATTTTTTCTGTTTTTTTTTTAGTTCGATTTGAGTTTTTTAATGCGTACTATTCTTTACACTTTTAGGCTGAGACCACACTCAGACCAGCGGCAAACCTCATCGCTCCAGATGTCTTTACGTTGGAAGAATCAACCCGGAAGAGCGACTTCTTAGGTCTCTTAGACTCAATCGGACTGAAGATGTGCGCTGGCCAAGGCACCGGGGCTCCGGCTGTGTTCGCCAGAACGACCATGGTCACACTGCGCGCCGAAACGGTAAATTTCGCCGGTATAGACGAAGTTAGCATAAACATGGCTTGCTCAGACTGTCCTAGGTATGTGAAGCAAACCGCCAAGATGACCCTGGGAAAGACTCTGGAAGCGACATACAAGTCTTGGAGCTGTTCGTCTTCAGACACGTGCAGTGGAGCTTGCATTCTTTCCACTCAGGTGGGTTTAACTCACGCTGATCAACAGTAAAAAGCAAATTTCACGACTACTGCATTGAAATTGCAACTTTTTGATGGCCTTAAAATTACACCCAGTCATTTTGCCCCATTGAATTCCTCCTAAGAAAAAGCAGGTTTCGTGTTTAAGGTGTTAATGCTCCTAAGAAAAAGCAGGTTTCGTTTCGTGTTTAAAGTCTTCTTGGTATAAAGAGAAAAAGTATACACTTATTTCCAAACCCTGAACCTTCGCTCCATGTGAACATTAAAGTGACATACTTTTTCTGAAGTTTTGATTTGTATTTCATGATCAATCCCCCATTTTAATACTTGTTGTTGTTCGTTCTCTCCACACCAGTACCCTGAAGATCTTTTGTACAATCAAACTGATTCTTCTCGGCTTACGGACATCGTCGATGTGAAGTTGTATAACCCAACCACATTTCGAGAGGTGACCGTCGGGTCTTTGGCTGAGCCGGTTGCTATCTTGATTCCGTTGCAATCAGGAAAAACTTTTCCAAATGAAAGCACAAATTCTGCAGAGGTGAGTCATAACAGAGAAACAAGAAACTATCCAGGGGATAGAGCTGTTATTTTAAATGCAGCATGACAAGTAGTACAGGACTTTTTTTTAACGTTCTAGGATTGGTTTAGAAAACTGGAGCTAAACTTTTGAATAATCAGATGCAGAACATTAACCAATTGCGACGAGGTGACTCGTATTTTCCCGCGCTCTGGGAAGCCTTCTTCTTTATGGTTTTTCTCTGTGTTCTCGTTGGCTACCTCTGACAGTTTCCTTTGCTCTGTCTGAGGGATGTTCAGGTAATTACTTTGGTCCTGGTTTTACAACGCCATTTGGTGCAGCAGCAGTCCATACCTCTCGTCATGCTTTGGTTGCGAGCCAGCAAATTTTGCTGGCCAACCTGAATACAGGGTCAGAGCGGAGTTTATCCATGAAAATTTAAGGAAATTTAAAAAAATGTCAGTATGACCTCGAAAAAAGTCTTAATTCTCGACATAATGGGAACACTTATTGTCATCTGAGAGTGTCAACCGCCGGCTTTTCTTCATGGGCCATGTGTTTTGAATCCTGACCATAAGTCTTGTAAATAAAAATAATGGTTTGGAAAAAGTCTTCCCAATGCTTTGAAAGTTTTGCCGAAAAATGCGAATAAGCTCTGAGTCCACGAGACGGCTTTGATAAGTTGGAACGATCTGAACCGTGAAGTTGAAGAAAGAACATTCGGAAATCGTGAAATACTCAAACACGAAGAGTGAATTTATCTTAGAATTCAGCATAAATTTATCTTCCCACAAACATTAAAATTTTACCAGTGAGCTTACCATTGATGTGGCCGTGAGTCAAGCCTTTTGTTTTTTTTTTCTGTTTAGTGCAAGTTGTGGAGCTCAAGTGAATCAAACTGGACTACAACTGGATGTGTCTCAGGCACTTCCCCAGTGATATCTGGTAATGTGACTTACGTTGAGTGCAACTGTACGACACTGGGATACTTAAGCGCTTTTGTTGGCCCAAAGAAGGAAGAAGAAGTTACCACTCCCGCCCTAACCACTGCTGCTCCAACTACTGCTGCTTGTGAACAGGAACCAAAGAGTTCAGGTGTCAACGTCAAGTTTGTTTTTAACGTGTCTTATAGCAGCGTGGTTGGAAACGACAGCCAGAAGGCGGCAGTCGAAGCAAGCATTATAAACACCATCACTAGCTCATCAAGCTTGGATGAGTGCAGTATACAGGATTTCAGCTTGACGGCTGGTAGCATAGTGGTGGAATTTGTGGCGGTGCCCAAGAAAGGTCAGACCACTGCCAGCATACAGCACGAAATAACCAAGATTGAGACAAAAGTCAAGGCAGGTACCTTTCAAATCACACTGCCGAATGGCCAAGTGATTTATGCTGACCAGAATTCGTTCGAAACCTACCTAGTAACTCCCACTACAGTTGCTGCAACAACTGCTGGTACTGCTCCAACTGAAAGTGGATCCAATAACACGACTATAATCATCGTAGCCTGCGTGTGTGGTGGACTGGCGTTAATTGTGATCATCGCCGTCACTGTTTACTGCTGTAGGAAGAAACGAGGATCTGGGAAAATTTCACCTTCCACCTCACCAGACCCTCAGCGTAATAGGCGTGAAGACGTGGAAATGAACGAGCGGGGTCAATTTATTCGGGACAAAGACCATCCAGGTGGGTTGGTATGGACAAAGGAAACAATTTGGAACAATTCTTCACTTAAAAGATACATTTTCGTGTATTCTCTGAGCATTATTTCATTGTGTATACTTCCCATCTTGTCGGTCTTCTTTTCCGTTACGCAAACTTTGGATCAGCGCAGAGAGAGATTGTGCAGACTAGCTCACTAACGAAACCAGAGTGTCAATGTTTATCACTTTGTTAAATCAAAAAATTAATTGTTTGCCGTTTCTTTTCCTACGCAGGTGCGAATAACAACAGAGGAACGGATTTCTAGATCCTTTTTATCCCGTTGAATGCGGTTGGCGGATACAGGAGCGAAGTCGATGCATGAAATTGAAACTTTGATAGTTGTTCCTTATCAAGAACTTTGGGACCGACAAGGGGAGGTTGAAAAAAATTAGACAACGCAGTATCACTTGAAGTCTATAAACTCGATTCTCACCAAACCTCAACCATTTAGCCGGAAAAAAAAAAGAAAAATGAAAAGAAAATTTGGGGTTGATGTCCAATGCCGACCAGAAACTGTTTTTTTCTGTTGTGAATGGGATTCTAATAACTAAAGTTTTCGATAAGCAATTAAGAATAAAAACCAGCGATATTAAAGAATGGCGTTTCGACGGCTCCATGCTATCATACTCAAATTCAAATAAATACATTTTGTGTGTTCATTAGATAGAAAAAGTACGTGTGAAGGTCTCAATGCATATGATTAAGAAATAAAAAGGATGAATAAAAGATGAAAATAGGTGAATAAAATACAAGCGTTGAGACTCGATGATTCTTGTGATTGCACAGTTAGTGAGTCTCTCAGGGTACTTAAGCTTGAGAAAGATCTCTTTCAGGTTGTCCCATTCGGCAGCGAAAAGGTCAGATGAAGATGAGAGTCGATGTACACGATTTAACATAGTCGTTAGAAGAGATCGTTTATACCTTTTGTCCACATGGCTTTGATACCATATGGATAAGAAGGCCTTTATCTGTTGTTTTCCTGTAGACGCATGGATTATATTCTCTACCTATTCCCGTGGACGCATGGATTATATTCTTTACCTACTCGCATTTTAAGATCTGCTAAACATGTCATTAGTCAACCTTTGTCTATAATTATAAATAAATCACTCAAATGTGGAACTCATTCATCTAAGCTAAAAATTGCTAAAGTTATTCCAATATACAAAAATGATGATGAATCTGACCCTTCTAATTATAGACCTATATCTCTTCTGTCTGTTTTTAATCGTATTTTCGAAAAAATGATGTATCATCGTCTCAAATGCTTTCTTGAGAAACGTAATATACTTAATGATTCACAATATGGTTTCCGCGAGAAACGATCTACTGAATACGCTCTCCTGGACATAATCAGTCAAATTGAAAATAACATGGACAAAGAATTGTCAGAAATTTCCCAGGTATATTTCAGAGCCGGGTGAAAAGAATTGACTGCGGTTATGAATTGAGTGAGCTCCTCTCTGGTAGAGGAGGTAGCGCCGATACAGTCGTCGATGTAGCGACCGTAGAGTTCAGGTTTGGACCCGTTGTATTGGCTGAAAAATTGATGTTCGACAAAACCTACAAAAAGATTGGCATAGCTAGGTCCCATTTTGGTGCCCATGGCTACACCATTGGTTTGTTTGAAGAAGTTGTTTCCGAATGAAAAACAATTGAGTGTGAGCACTAGTTCGGCTAAGCGTAGTAGTGTTTCAGATTTAGGTTCCTTATCAGTACGTTGATCAAAAAAATGTTTAAGGGCCAGAAGGCCTTCGCCATTAGGAATGACAGTGTAAAGAGACGTAATATCCATGGTGAAAAGAAGTTTGTTTTGGCCAAGGAAATTAAAGTCTCGAAAATTTTTAAGAGCGTGTTGGCTGTCTTTAAGATATGATGGTAAAGTTTTGACGATGGGAGCCATAATAAACGATATATCTAATAGCTCTGATCGATTTAAATTTTACTTATTCACAGATCATGCTGATAAAAATCTTAAGTTACACGAAACCATAGTTAATGCTGAACTCTGTAACATCTACGACTGGTTAATCGCTAACAAGTTATCACTGAATATAAAAAAAATCTAACTTTGTTATTTTTCGGCTTAGACAGAAAAAACTGAATCACCAAATAAATTTGAGAATCTTTGACCATCATGCTAACTAGAGTTATACCATCTAGAGTTATATTTCTCTAGAACGTAAGGAATTTATTAAATACTTAGGAGTGCTTATTGATGAAACTCTTTCATGGGGTCACCATATTGCTCATATTGCATCCAAAATAAGTGAATCGATCGGCGTTATCTCTAGATTAAGACACTTTGTACCCCTTAGTACCCTAAACCACATTTACAGGTCACATATCCAACCCTATTTATTGTATGGTATAGTCACGTGGGGTCAAGCTGCAAAAATTCATAGAGATAAAATTCTAATCCTTCAAAAACGAGCCCTTCGCTTAATGTACTTTGGTGACTACAAATCTCATGCAATCCCGTTTTTTGTTTCTTCTCGTTTTCTTCCTTTGGATATGCTTTACTTTAAATCAGTTGCCATCTTGATGCATGACATATCCAATAATTTGTCACCTTCTAACATACCTCACTTATTCACTTATCAAGCTAATATTCATCCCCATAAGACAACATCATCTTCAAGAGGCGACTATTTTGTTGAAAGTTCAAGATTAGATACACAAAAAAGGGCATTTTCAAGAAATAGTGTTAGAATCTGGAATAGCTCGTCTTGTGAAGTGCGCCAGCTATCAAAATACAATTTTAAGAGTAAAAATTCATGATTTTCTCCTCCAGAGACTCGAAAAATATGACGATTATATTGATTTGTCTACTTTAATAGCACAACTATAAGACCCCAGCTTGTTCTGTTTTCTTGCCGTATCATAAATGTATTAATGTAGTTGTAATTTGTCTAGAATTCTGAATCTCTTGCTCTGTAAATCTTTTTATTTTCTAATATACGTATTAAACACTGCCCGCCTCGACTAGCCTTTTCTAACTGCGGGCAGTTTATATTTTTTTGTAATATTGTAATATATCATTAAACTGTTAAACTGTCGTTTTATTATTTTTATACACATATGATNTGATGCATTGAGACCTTCACACGTACTTTTTCTATATAATGAACTCACAAAATGTATTTGTTTGAATTTGAGAATGATGGCATGGAGCCGTCGAAACGTCATTCTTTAATATCGCTGGTTTTTACCTCATGGTATGACGTAAGTCATGCTGTGAGGTTTAGGGTTTGGGGGCGAAACTCAATTAAAAATCACTCACTCGATCTGTTAGACATTAATTTATGCATTATACCTGGATTAAACACTTTTTCTTCCCCTCCGTGACAAGTTTCCCGGTTCAAAGTCACGGTTTACTTATATTTGGGGGGTGGTACAAAGGCGAGAATATGCCGAACTACTTGGACAGATTCATTTTGGCGTCCTGTCCCTTGAAGCGTGATGGTTTTTTTTTATTCCAAACTTGATCAAAACATAACTTTGTGGAGCCAAAAATGGAAAGGAAATATGCTACAGAATATTTGACTGCAGAGAAATGGGCGTCTGAGTCCTAAAAGTGACAACAAACACAATAATTGTGCCAGCACGTGTTGCGCACGATCAAAAAATCTTTCGCAAGAAAGCCAGATCGCAGGTTACATCAAGGGCGCCAAAAATTCATACCATGAGGTTGCTCTAAGGAGCCTTTGATTCTTGAAATGTTATCGGTAAGAAAAAACTCGTAGCTACAAAAGGTAAATAGAAAGCCCCCGAAATAATGTAAATATTTCACTGTTTAACCGAAAACTGCGTATGGAGCAAGAGAAGTCTAGGTTCCATAACAAGCCGCTATTCAGGAAATGAGCCCACGGTCTTCCCTCCCCCCTCCTCCCCAGTTTTCCCTTCCCCTTCTTGAGAGGGGTGAAAGAACGAACTCTTATTAGCTTACGCTTACGACAAGTTACAATAAGAGTGGGAAAAGGAAAACCTTACAAAAACTTTTTTTAATTCGAGAACTTCAACTGTACACCAATGCTCTTTCGCTCAAAATTGTATTTAAAGCATGTTGTGAATTCATTGACGACTGATTGAAGTTAATGAGATTTTTTAGAGTAGTAATCTTCCATTTGTACTTTGGACTGCATCATCGTTTTTTTAAAACATCCAGCCGGTTTTCGTGATGTAGGAGTGTATTGTTAGGTGAAATTATATTGCCAAATACTGTTCTCATTCCAGTGCAAAATCGTTTTTATTAAAAGTGTGAAACAGTTTAAGGTTGGTTTTCTGTTTTATTTAAGTCCGACATAAGAACAGGGAGTAACGCTCAGATCACAGGGGCCTCATAAAATGACTCCGGATTACTTGTTAGGGTAGCCCTCTAGCGCATTTAGTAATAAAACTCTCTTCAGAACACGCGTAACGAAACGAAACCGAAATTGTTCCCTCAAGGGATTTACCAGTTCGGCTAACGATATAGGCTTCTATTTTGGATGCCAATTTTTTGGGTAAGGACTTTACGATGGCAATATCACCTATAATGACGGGCAGATAAATTCTAATTTTTGGCCGAAATACCTTATTATCTTTACTTTCCCACGGTGAATTGCCTTCTTTGTTTGCCACATTATGGAAATCTTAATACACGACTCGGGCAGTCAGAGGGGCAATAACTAAAATCAACCAATCAAAATGTTCTATTGCCGGTCCAATATTCTCTAAGTATTGGACCGGGCACTGTCCCGAATGATACCGCACTTGTGTCCCTTTGAACTTCAGTCGTATAATAAATCTCTTATTAACCAAGCTTGCTCAGGACCGTACTGGAAGAATATC